AGCGCCCTAATGGAGACCCCCTCCGTTCGCGACATGGTGCATCGGACTGGGGTTAGGCGTGTGGCAACACACGTCTAGTCTAAGTGATCGAACCTGTCGCGCTGATGGGTGGCCGAGGAAGACAGCAATCACACAGACGCGCCAACGGAACGGCTAGCTAATCCGAGGATCGGCAGGGAACGCCGCGAAGGATTCCGAAGGGGCGTACCTTACCAACCTAGTGGTCCAGTGTGGATAATGATCTCCGGAGTGGCACCGGTAGCCATGTGAAGCACTCGACTAACCTGTAGGACTAGGGAGCGGGAGTCATTACCCTGCTGGAGGTAATCGCTTGTAGTACGCGCGGGGCACTGTGGGTAACGCTGGAACAAGCTGCATGGAGGAGTGCTCGGGGGGAAGAGATTGCACGACGAGGTGCCGCTCTCATGCATCCCAGTTAGTGACGGTCCGCTGCGGTGAATCCGCCCAGTGGGGTCCGCCCAAAACCTCGCTTTGCCTCCAGACTGCACTTCCAGGCCGTAGGCACCTGTTGATTCTCATGGAAGATTAGCCTGTCGTTCCGCGAAGCCGCCTGGGTGAGACCCTGGGCGACCGAGGTCGCACATCAGGGGCTGAGATCCTGCCCGCAGATTCCATCGCCGGTTCTTTTCATCGCATACCCATCGCAGTTCCATCGTTTGCGGGGCCATCGTGTTTGCTAATGTACTGCTAGCCGCAGGAGCTCCTGGCCAGAGCCATCCATGCGGCATTGCGTTCACTTACCTTCTCCCATTTTAGAGTTGAGTTTGACAGTAACTACCTCCTGTCGTTGCGAACAATCAAGTCAACAATCAAAGCGTGCAAATCCAAGCTAACGAAGGCCCATACGGCATTAGAGGCAATTAAAGGTAAGATACCACAGGATCTGATCAATCCGCGTACTACTGAATTGCTACTGCCTGCCGACGAGTGCCAGCTTCTTGACCTTCGGCAAAAAGCGCTTAAGGCACACTTGTCGAACATAAGCACAGCGCTAAATGTCGTAAGAGAGAAACAGCAAGCCTTCTTAGCCGTAGTAAGTAGTTCAAACAATCCAGTAGAATACAATACAATTTATCTAGATTATATGCAAGACACTGATAAGAGGATGCCATAGTCACTGCGGAGAGTTTAATCCAGACCCTCCAGACCAACTTGGAAGAGGCCGCTACGCGGCATGAAACTCTTCGGATCAGGTTAATGATTACCCAGCAGGACGACGACGCAAGACCATCGCAGGAGAGGCCAGACGATGTAGCGCGTTACGAAACCATCGACCATTCGACGCAGATGCCTCCACTTCAGCCTTCTCCAGGAGAGAGCCACCGCAGGGTACGACTGACACAGGTTCTACCACGTTCGCTAATCAGCAGACGTCGCACCGTCCAACGATTCAGCTGGGAGCGCGCGTTCGACGTCACAATCCACAACGATACCACCATCAGCTTCACGTATAAGTTCTTCTATCTACAAGGGCTGCTTAAGGGCGAAGCACAGATTGTACTCCAGGATCTTGACCCTGATGAGTGCAATTACTATGAGCTAGTAAAGGCACTCAAGAAGCGTTATGATCGGCCGCATAAGACCCGTGCGATGCTGCACAGGCAGCTACAACAACCACCGCAAGCAGGCCAGTCAGGAGCAGATCTTCGCAACACTTGGTTTCGCGTCTCGGGTATTCTCCGTGGTCTTCGCAAACACGAAGACTTTCGCACTCTCCTTCCGATACTCGACTTGGCTCTTAGTAAATTTCCCTCCGACGTCCAACAGAAGCTTCACGACGTCGAATTCCAGTCTGGGACGGACTTCGACCTCCATCAGATCATGCACCATCTTGATCACATCATCGCTTCAAGGGAAAAGTATTAGGACACCACTACGCTGAAAGATAGTTATTCCATCCATAGCTCTTATCGTAGTCGCGAAAGAACAGGATCACGCTTGCAATCCCCAGTTTACCATCAGCCAAGTTGCGCCTTTTGTGGGTCACGTCCTCATAAAACACGCCCATGTACTTCACCTGTGCCAGTAGAAACTCGCATCAACATCGCGAGGTCGTCTCGTCTTTGCTGGAGATGTTTGAGCCAAGGTCATTCTCGTCGCCATTGTCGCCATCCACCGTGCAGACGTTGCTTAGGCGATCATTCCGAGCTTCTGTGTATATATCGTCCACGAAAAGAACGAAGACGATACAGTCCAAGTCGGCATGGCCCTCACAGGTCGCGCAGATACGACTACGATCGTAATAGGCGGAACTACCGCTCATCGTCGTGGGACAGATATCCGTCTAGAAGCCCATCTTATGGCAGACGCAGAAGCAGGAGTTATTCCAACAGTGGACGCTCAAGGTCTGCATCGTGGGATGATCATCGTCGAGACCGTAGATCACGGGCTTACTCCCCAGCAAGGCGCTATAGTCTTTCACCTGACCGGGTCACTTTCCGTTCGTCACTTAGAGACCGCCATTACTATGGCCCTGTAAGGGATACGCAGGCAGGTCTGCGTGCAGGTTCTCCACATCCCAATGCCTACCGACATCAGGCTCAAGATTCAGACGACGAGTTAGAGCAACTTATGCAGTGTCTTCATTCGCGTAACACCAAGCGCGCCGCAGCTCCATCAGCCTTAATGCTGGTTGATGCTAAAGCATACAGCCGCAAAAATGTGACACTTGAGAAAGTTGTTTTACTCTTAGATTCAGGAGCTCAAAATAGCTTCATTACCACCAGTAACGCGCAACATCTAGGTCTATTTACATATATATATATATATATATATATATATATATATATATATAATGAGAAAGAACGCACATTCTTTTCCTTTGGAGGTCTCGAGACCACAGGTATAGCAGACGTTGACTTAATCGATATATCTGGTCGCATATTCACGCTTCATGTAACAACTAAAGATACTATCACGCTACCGCAAAATCTTCCAAAATTTTCAAGCAAAGATATCGAGTTTATCAGAGGACGTCACTTGCGTATTCCTCTCAACATGGACGCACCGCATCCGGTATTGCCGGACATACTCGTGGGAATCGACAATTATTGGGATGTTCTGTGTCAGGAACCCCCGTTAGGTCTACCCTCGGGCATGGTTCTGACACATACCAGCTCCGGCACAGTCGTGTCAGGCAATTCGGTTTTTCATTTGGGATACCGCAAAGCCCAGACACCGACGAATTCCATACAACATTCGACGCGGACGAGGAAGACGCACAACGCCTTTGGTAACTCGAATCTTTAGGTGTCACAGACAGTCATGATCCGAAAGGGACGACGAGCCCAACGCTCGCATTCTTAACAACTTTTACGAGTCTTCTGAGTTCATCGGCGGCTTTATCTACATTCGATTTCCTTGGAAATCTTCGCATCCACCTTTGGCAGGCAATAAGCAACTGGCGTATTGTCGTCTTGTCAGCCAGTACCAGCGTCTTTGATGCACTCCATCGGTTTGAAAACAGTACATCGCAGCCATCGAAGACCATCTTAAAGCCGGTTTCATCGAAGAGGTTGACGAACGTGCCTTAGACAAAAATCGCGTCTACTATATTCCGCATCAGGCAGTCTTCAAGGAGTCCTCCTCTACGAAGAAGTTGCGCATCGTCTTCGATGCGTCCTCGAAGATCAGAGGAGCGGTCAGTCTTAATGACTGCATCCATCAAGGACCTACCTTGCTGCCGGAATTAGTCGGTATTCATCTTCGTATTCGTCTTTACCGGTTTCTGCTGATCGCAGACGTTAAGAATGCTTTCCACCAGATCCGCCTTCAGCGATCGCAGCGCGATGCTACACGTTTCCTTTGGCTTAAAGATTCGTACAGTCCGCCATCGCAAGGCAATCTTCGCATATTCCGGTTCACGCGCATTCCCTTCGGAATTAACGCTTCTCCGTTTATGCTCGCAGCTGCCATACGATATTACCTACGTCATCTTCGTGGTCCGCTCGCCAGCGAGATTGAACGCAATACCTACGTTGATAAAGTAGCGTTAGGTGCCGTAACAACGCAGCAAGCCGTTCAGAGTACTAAGTACAAAGTCCGTTTTTGGCGACATGCACATGAATTTACGACTGTTTGTATGCAATACGAACTTGGTTAACGATACCACCGTGAAGGAAGATCAAGACAACGCCGGAAGAGAAACAATGTTGTTAGGTATTGCTTGAATTACCATCGGGATACGTTACGCATGGCTGTCAAAACTGTCGACGTTGGAGTCCATCCGAAGCGCACAGCACTTCGTGCATTGGCGTCCACATACGATCCGCTTGGGCTACTCACACCGTTCCTCACCAACGCCAAGATCTTTGTGCAAGACCTCTGGGCCAAGCTCTGTTCTGTGCCAAGCTTCCACGTGAACAGTAGTTGAATGTGGGTCAGTCGATCCTAAGATACTGGCTTATGCCTTGTATCATCGAGAGGGAAAAGTCTCTTGTCTCTCGGATATCAAAAACGAATAGG